GGGTCATGACTTTTTTGGCTTGAGTGTTTTCTTTGACTGATGAATCTATTTCTTTGACCGTATCTTCAAAGCCAGAGATCTGCTCTTCCATCTCTTGCACTCTGTTGGTTATACTTGCATCTGTAGTTCCTGTTCGTTTACTCAGATTTTCTATTTCTAGCATTCCCTCTGTTTGTGTCTTCATTTTTTCTATTTCCCTTTTCAGGTCTTGGACTGTTTCCCTCATCTGTTTCATTGCTTTTTCATGGTTTTCTTTCAGAAATTCATTGTTTTCTTGTGCTTTGTCTTTTCCTTCCTTTTTTTATAGTGTTTTTCACATTTTTGTTTGAATTTTCATGTTCTTTATTGATTTCCTCCACTTTTTTGTTTGTCTTTTCCTCCATTTTATTTTTGATTTTTTCTTTAAAAGCCTGTAGCATCTTCACGATATTTTTCTTAAGGTTTCTTTGTTCTTTGTCTTCCATTTTGTGATGTTCAAGTCTTGCTGTGGGAGGAGGGCTAGGTTCTGGTGATGGTGTATTGCCCTTTATTTTGTTGTATGTACTTCTGCCTTAACATCTGCCCATCATCTCATGGATTCGTTTTAGGTCTTATCAGCTCTCTTGGTCCAGACAAAGCTGACAGATTTGACATTTCAGGAAGCCTCTGGCCCAGATGGGAGCTCCAGGCCTGGTGGGAGCTGGTCTGTAAGTCTCAGGAAGTGGGGGTGTGTGACTTTGGTGGATGGGTGTGGGGGTCAGGTGTGTAGATTGCAGGGTCTACTGGGGGGGTCTAGTAAAAAGGGAACCTTCAGACTGGGGCCCACCCAATGGCCAGAACCTGGGCCTAAGTTGGGCAGGTCTTCCCCAGAAAGGCTGGTTCCCAGGGATGGGACCTAGGGGCAGGCTTCCCTGGGTACGACCCCAGGCATTCACCTCTGGTCTGGATGGGAGCTCTGGGCCAAATGGGAGATAAGGGCTGATCTTTGAGTCTCAGGAAGTGGTGGGGGTCTCAGGTGGATGGGTGTGGGGGGGCAGGGCTTATAGATGGCATGGTCTGCCATTAGGTATAGGAAAGGGGGAACCTTCCCGCTGGGGCCTGCCCAATGCCAGAACTTGGGGCTAAGGTGGGCAGGTCTTCCCTGGAACGGCTGGTACCCCAAGATATGTTTTTAGAATGACCTGTTATTAAATCATTTAAGTAAATGTTAAGTAAGAAATAGAATGGAATCACTAATGTTTTGATGAACCTCATTACTTCTTGAAATTCTAAAATAATAATTTAAACTAGAAAATCATTTCATATGTTCTCAATAATTGGGTTGATTTCTGTGCTTTTTTGATTTCATTAATTTTAAAAAGTTTGACCTATATCTGTGTGTATACCCATTTGCAATGAAGTGTATGTGGCAGTGAGAGGACAACTTATATGTGTCTGTTATCTATTTATCCCGTACAAGTTCTATTGATGAAAGCCAGGGAATTGTTTAGTTGTCAGTGACCTGAATGGCCTTGTTTGGGTTTTAAAATTATTCATGTATGTGCAGGTATATGAGTGTGCATATGCCACACCACAAGTGTAGCAATAAGAGAAAATTTTGTAGAAGTGATATGGCTTTCCTAGAGATTGAACTCAGGATTAACAGCAACCACTTTTACTCACAGAAACTAATTTCTGATATTCATTTGTTGTTCTGATAAAGTGCTATGAACAAATGTTTGGTCCTCAGAATTAACTCATTCTACATGAAATTAAAAAAAAGGAGGATAACAATATGTCATTTTCATTTGCAAATAAGATTTATTGTTCAATTTCTCCTATTTTCCATTATATATTTCAATGGAAACACGTTTACTACCCCCAAAACAATATTTTAAAGATTTAATGTTTCAACTAATCTGATCTGAGCACCAATGAGACAGCTCTGTTATTATTGTCTGTGTTGTGTAAAGCTTTGACCTTATTGGGATCACCATATGAAGATGGACAAAAGTAGACCCCATAAAGTTGTCTTCTATTCTATACACTTATGACTGGCCTAAATCACACACACACACACACACACACACACACACACACACACACACACTCACACACACACACACACCAAGAAAAATTATAAAGTAAATCTCACTATTACTACATTATGTGGTATCACTGGATAATTCCTTTAGATGTTGTTGTGCCAAATGGATAACAGATGAGGACATGAAGATACATGGGACTACAAATATATGTATATATTACATCAAATTATATTGTAAAAAATACAGTTGATTACTGATTAATTTCAAATATATCTTTTTCAGATTCATGAAAAGGTTTCTTTCAATACATACATGAAATATTTAATGTTTCTTATATTCTGTATTAAGTATTTTACCATTAACATATTTAAAATATTTTGTCAAAACAATAATATTTGGGAGCATATCATCTACCCTTTAATCCCAGGGTCATGGGTTTGAGCCTCACAATGGGTGCCATTTGTAGCTGGAGAGTATTTCTCCAGGTCCCACCTAGCCCCTACAGTCCTGCAGCTCACTTATAAAATAATCACTCAGATGCTTATAAACTGTATGGTCATGGCAGGCTTCTTGTTATCCATTTCTTATATATTAAATTAACCCATTTTGATTAATCTGTAAGTCACCACATGTTCCATGGCTTCACCTGTTGCCTTTACATGCTGTTCCCTGGATGGCAGGCTGGCATCTCTCTCTCAGCCTTCCTCTTCCCAGAATTTTCCTCTCTCTTTGTCCCATCTATAATTGCTACCTGGACACTGGCCAACCAGTACTTTATTTATTAACCAATCTGAGCAACACATTCAGAGCATAAAGAACATTTCACAGCGCTACTTAGACTTGAACTCAGGAGACTGACATACAAGAATCACGAATTCTAATGTGTTCATGACAAAATACTGACATTCAAGCCAGGCTGGATAACAAACATTTCAAGGGAATTTGTGAAAAATTATAAAAAATAAAACCAGGAACAAAAATCTGCCACCCTTTCCCAGACACCCTTACTTGAAAAGTATTATCACATACTGTGTGACATTTGAAGAAAAATGGAACACTTTGGTGATAGCCATCCTATTCTATACATTGCAGCAGGTACTTCTCACTAACTGGAGGCAAAAAATGAACAGACACCATAGAAGGAATATAAGGTACACAAAATAAACTTCATTAATTGGATTTGTCACACATATCCCACACCTCAATATCTACCTCAAATGTGGCAAAATAGAAGATGCAATGTGGTCTTCATATCAGTCTTTAGTGAATTTGGTTAATAATTTACTTACTTCAAGGCTACAATTAAAAGGACTTGAAATATTTTTTCCTTGAAACTGAAAACAACTGTTATGTCTAAAGTCTTAATCAAAATGATATAAAACAGCTTTATAATATTAACAGGGATAGAGACATGGCAAAGCCTCTAATACAAGTTCATTCCCTGGACCAAGGTCTGGTGGTCCAGGTGACTTCCAGTAATTACTGCTACAAAAAGCTCCAAGTGTGTTACCTTCTTGGAAACCATAATGCACCTACACATACACACACAAAGACACACAGACATTGCATAATTAAAATGAAAACAAATCTTTAAGCTAATATTTAATCATGAATGTTTTACTATGTAATTCCTGTCACAAGAGTGTTCATGCATCTAAAAAGTTACAGAGATTTTCTCCATCATAAATTGGTTCATGTAACAAAAAGAAAGCACTGAAGTCAGAGAAATAAATCCTTTTCAGTCTATGATATCATTTTGTAATATTTAGGAAATGCTTCCCTGCTAGATGAAATATGTCACTGGGGGTTGGCCTGAGAATTTACATCTGAACAGCATTTCTAATTTACACTTTCTTCTTATGTTGCAGGTAAAGGATGTGAATTCTTAGCCTCCCACTTTAGCTGCCATGTCTGATACTTGTTTCCATTCCACGTTCACAGGGTTCATGTATTGCTCTGGAACCAAGAGCCAAATTAAACTCTTTTTTTAGTTCATTTAGACATGATGTTTTATCAAAGCAGCAGACAAGGCAATATTACACATCTATGAACTGGATTTTGTATCTGGATTCATTACCTCATGAAATTGAAGAGATGCATGAAATCAAAGAGGGTTACCTTATCATTTGAATTCATAAGGCTTTTGTCCATTTAATTGTCCAGGTGTAAACAAAATAAAGGACATCATAATTCTTGATATCATAAATCTTGAACAGATTATTGACATGTGTCAATTTTTGTCTCCAAAATAAATAACCTTTTTAGATAAATTCCCAAAGGTCTTATTAATAAAGACAAACCCAGAGACAGGTATTTGGGTGAATGCTGAAAGATCAGAGAAACAAAACAAGCCACATTCAACATCACATTGCCAACTTCTCAGCTGATCTTGTTTCCTCCAAATGGAAGCCTCTGAGTCCTTACTCAAATGGATCTCAACTGAACTGCTGCTCAAAAGCCTATAAGCTTAAAAACATTCTAGTTCCAGGTGTTCGTGCCTTATATGCTATTCTGTTTTTTTGACAGAGATTAACCTATTTAAACCAAGTATTTCCTCTTTAAAAGTATATTCAATAAACTTTTTATTATATCATATCCACATTCTTTCTTTTTTCTTTTTTTGAGTAGATTCAAAAATCTCCCTTTTATCTTATGATTTCTATATCTTCATTTTTTTTCTTTTCAGGGTAGGTTCAACAATCTACCCTTTTCTCTATCCTTTTTTCTTTTTCTTTTCCTTTTTTTAAAAACAAGAACCCTGTATCTAATCTCCATTTTTTAACTTTTTGTTTTGACAATTAATGGATCAACATCTTGTAACCAACCATCACAGAAAATGGCCATACCCATAAGTCTTTAAATGACCAAAAAACTACCCACCCCACCTCTTGGGAATGTGGGTGTTGTATTCTTTTTTTTTTAAATATATTTTTATTTTAATGTGCATTTGTGTTTTTGCCATGGGTGTCAGGGTCCCTTGAAACTGGAGTTACAGACAGGTATGAGCTGCCATGTGTGTGCTGGAAATTGAATTCGGGTCCTCTGGAAGAAGAGTCAGCACTCTTAGCCTCTGAGCCATCTCTCCAGCCCTGGGTATTGTATTCTTAAAAATACTTTCTGCTGTCTAGTGGTGAAGTTATCTTTACAGATTTCTGAAATTAAAATATTTGGGTTAATTGTCAAGTCCTGTATCATTTTTCCAGTCTCTGCATTATGGGAATTCAAGTAGTATGTGAAGCTGAATCATCTCAGTTAGCCATCTCAAAATTGTATTGAGAAGTTTGTAGCCCAAAGCATATCATTAAATGTGTTAATCAGCTTATTGGCTTTATTATATTCCATTTGTAATCATCATTGTGGGATTCTGTCATCCTTTGAAGATTTCAAAGTTGCTTTTAGGCATGGTCATGGATCCCTGCAGATTTTTTTTTTGCCTCCTCTGTGGTTTGGAGCAATCATAGTCTGATAAATGTCTGTCTCTCAGAACCACAAATGTTTTTCCTTAGAAGAGAATATCTTCACAGCAATTTCTTCTCTCGACTTGCCTCACCAAATTTCTCCAAACTGACCTTTGTTAATGCTTTCTTGTAACAAGATGGTCGTGGCAATTGTTCTCTGAATAAGCAGCAGTAAACACTTTGTCTCCAGTAGTACTTTTGCCATCACCACCAACATGATAAGCAGCTGGCAACTTGAAGCAGAAGCCACCACCTCCATGGTCCCACCAGTACCATTTGTAGCCTGGCCCAGCCACAGCTTCTCCACAAGACTCACTGGCTGGCCTTGAACTTGAGATCTTCCTGCTTCTGCCTCTGTCAGCAAATCCTACCAGCATGCACCACCACAACCAGTCCCATGCACCTCAGGCCTTCGATGGGGCTTGCAAGGCCACAGGAAAGTAGCTTTTACTTGAATTTGTACATGATAAGTTGGGCACCAGATATAGACAAATTTCAAAATGTCTTAATAAAAAACAAACCCCGCACCAGTATTTGGAGTAAACACTGAAAGATGAGAGAAACAGAACAAGCCACAACCAACCTCAAACCTTATGTTGACTAAAGATCATACCAATTCATATATATTTAAATTCATTTTACTATGAGATCTTTCAGATCTCCTAAGTCTATTGTTATATTCAAAGGCATTAAGAGACCAATTACACACTAAACATTATACAGTTATAAGGTTACCATGTATTGTGACTAGGCTTTAAGACATTAATAATATTCATAGGATTTCTTTCCAGTATGTGTTCTTTTATGTACTTGAAGAGTATGTTCTGTTGTACAAAGGTTTTGACACATTGATTACATTCATAGGGTTTTTGTCCAGTATGAGTTCTTTTATGTACTTTGAAGATTGTGTTGATGTGCAAAGGCTTTGCCACACTAATTATATTCATAAGGTTTCTCTCCGTATGTGTTCTTTTATGTACTTGAAGATAACTGTGTTGTGCAAAGGCTTTACCACACTGAATACATTAATATGGTTTCTCTCCAGCACGTGTTCTTTTATGTCTTTGAAGAGCATTGAGACATGCCAAGGATTTAACACATTCATTTTATTCATAGGGTTTCTTGCCAGTGTGTGTTCTTTTATGCCTTTGAAGATTACTGTGAAATGCAAAGGCTCTACAACACTGATTACATTCATAGGGCTTTTCTCCAGTATGTGTTTTTTTATGCTTTTGAAGATGACTGTGTTGTGAAAAGGCTTTACCACATTCATTACATTCATAGGGTTTCTCTCCAGTATGTGTACGTTTATGCAATTGAAGACCACCCGGTTGTGCAAAGGCTTTACCACATTGATTGCATTTATAGGGTTTCTCTCCAGTATGTGTTCTTTTATGAACTTGAAGAACACTGTGATAACCAAAGGCTTTACCACATTCATTGCATTCATAGGGTTTCTCTCCAGTATGTGTTCTTTTATGCAATTGAAGAGCACCATATTGTGCAAAGGTTTTACCACATGTATTACATTCAAAAGGTTTCTCTCCAGTATGTGTTCTTTTATGTACTTGAAGATGACTGTGATAGTCAAAAGCTTTACCACAGTGATTACATTCATAGGGTTTCTCTCCAGTATGTGTTCTTTTATGTAATCGAAGAGCACCATGATAAGCAAAGACTTTACAACACTGATTACATTCATAGGGTGTCTTTTCAGTATGTGTTCTTTTATAGATTTGAAGTATACTGTGATGAGAATAGGCTTTCCCACACTGATTACCTTCATAGGGTTTCTCTCCAATATGTGATCTTTTATGCCTTTGATGCTGACTATCATATGCAGAGTCTTTACCATATTGAGTATATACAGAAAGTTTCTCTTCAGTTTGGCTTCTTTCATGCCTAAGAGAATAATTGGCACATTTAAAATTTTACCATAGTCAATATGCTGTTGACTCTTTTCATCTTTAAGAATTAATTTTATAATTTGTTTCCACACTAAAGAGGAATCTGATCTTAAGGTTTTATCACTGTGTTTACACTAATGTGGTATTTACACAGTCCTAGAACTCAAGACTTTTCTGTAGCATGAGTACATTGATATATAACAAGGAAGCTAGAAAACTGATATTGTGTACTTGAATTAATTTTAACAATTATTTTCACGTGGGGACTGCTACTTATTTTCTAAATGCTCTGAGAGAGAGGTATGTTATGTGTTTCCATATCCCCATGCTCATATGGCTTGTATACATAGTGATATATGATATACATAGTAAAGGAAGAATATTAAATATAAAATTTCCATATTGAATTCAATTTCACTTTCTGTCCTCATAGACTTGTGGTATAGGGATTAATTTTTTCCCATGACAATTTCCCCTGACTCTTGACACTAACTACCCCTTTAACTAAACAGCACAGTCACAATAATTATAAGAGAAATACTTGTTTTAGTATGGATCCTTTGCTTACTAGAATGTTTTTGAGATATACATATCACCTCTTCACTGTATATAACTTTTGTAATATGAGTAGGATGAAATAAATGGATTGGCAGTAATATAGCATCTCCCTTATGGTTCTATGATTCAAATGGTCACATGTCTTGGGGCATTGTTTCCCTGTTCTTTAATAAAAGAATTCCTTGCAAATGCAATTCATCTACCTACAATTGAGGTTTATGGTGTGTCAAAATTTAATGATCATCAACATACTTTAAGTGTTACTTATTTACACTGATGCTTTTATTTAAAACTTCCAGGTCAGGCCCAGCGGTGGTAGCACACACCTTTAATCCCAACACTTGGGAGGCAGAGGCAGGCAGATCTCTGTGAGTTTGAAGCTAGCCTTGTCGACAAAGTGAGTTCTAGGAAAGGTGCAAAGCTACACAGAGAGACCCTGTCTCGAAAAGCAAAACAAACAAACAAAACAAAACCAAAAAAAAAAAACCAAACAAACAAAAAAACAAAACAAAACAAAACAAAAACCTTCCAGGACACATTACAATTTCTTCAGAGGAACATTTGTATCAGATTGCACATAAAAATTACCTTTCATGTCTTCTAGAGCTTTGACAAAGTTCTTCAATATTATGGTCCTTCCAACTGTACCCTAAAATATAACACCAGAACAGGTATAACATATCATTGAAAACTGTGCAAAATTTAAGTCACCATCTTCAATGAACATTAGAACCATGACTGATTTATTTACCTCTATCTTTTTTCAATCAAATTACAGAAGAGCATCAATAACAAAGGAACAGTTGTACCTTTATTTTAAATCATGAAGGAAATTTCAGTCTTACCTATAATAGCGAGGTTTCTGTAGGTCTCCAGCATTACATCTTTGTAGAGATTCTTCTGGGAAGGATCCAGCAAAGTCCACTCTTCCCAAGTGAAACCAACATGCACATCCTCATAGGTCACCACATTCTAAAATATCCCATACATGTGCAAAACAGAAAGTGTGACACTGACAACATTGTAAATGTATACTTATTTGACTGTGTATTTATATAATTCTGGTGCTTCCCACACTTATTGCATGACATAAACATTATAATGTAATCATCATGTCACTTTAGAAGTACAGTGAATAGGAGGGTCACCTCTTTCATATCTGTACCCTTTGAATGGGCTATCATCTTGCAAGAGAAATGTTTAATAACAAACATAGTGAAACAAGGAAACAGATCAACAGTACAGAATACACATGAGAAAATTTGTATGAACAATTACTAGTTAAAAAAGAAAAATAAGATGGAAAAGCTGGGTGTATTGGCTCACATCTTTAACCTCAGCATTCAGAATGCAAAGGCTGGTGACTCTGAATTGAATGCCAGGCTAGTGTATGCAATCAGGTCCAGGAGAACATATTAAAACCCTGTCTTCCATGCTAAAATCTAACAAATGAAAAAGATAGAACTCATAGGTTTTTAATAAAGTTCCTACAAAGTGTTATGCATTCACTCTAGTTCTGTATTCATCTACCAGTAATGTGAAGTGCAACAATTTAAACTGCAACATCAATCAGATTTTACTAAAAGGCATGACATGTTGTAACAGTTATAAATGGACAGATAAAAACATTAGCTATTTCAATGTTGATCATACATAATTAACACAGGGCAGAAGAGATGACACAGTAGTAAAGAGCTATTGCTTGTCTTCCATATATGTGAGCTCAATTGACAGTACTTACATGCAGGATCACATCTATCCATTATTCAAAGTTCAGGGTTCATGAGACCATATTTTAAAAACTGAGGTGACCAGGTACCCATGTGGTGGATATCCATTCCTACTGGAAATTATTCAAACTCATTTAAAAATTCAAAGAAAAACAAAAAACAAAACAGAAAGGAAACAGGTCATGTACCTGCATTCCAATGACTCAGAAGGCTCATGCAGTATTAATGTCATGAATACATGCCATCCTGAGAAAGACAGTGATACCCTCTGCCAAATTTTAAAATTCAAAATATGGTTGAAGATCAATACAACAGCCTATCCTTGACAGGTACATACCAGGCCCATCATCCAATAATGTAAAAATAAAAATGCCAGAAATGTTGGTCCACCTTTAACCCCAGGACTTGAAAACCAGAGATAGGGAAATGTCTGAGTTAGTGGTCAGCCTAATGTACAGAGGTCCTTTCAGGAAGCCAAGGCTACACAGGCAAACCTTGTCTTCAAAAACAAACAAAAAAAAATTAAAAGAGCAAGCTACCAAACTGCAGTTGCACTGAATAGCAAGTACGTCTAAATTATCTTATGTGATTTAGAGCCTATAATGGCAGTGAAAGCATGACAACACGAAGAAGCTGGCTGATTTGATTCAATCACAACACAGTAGATGCAAACAATAGGAAATTTGTTGAGAATATAGTGGCAAATATCACACCCCTAGTGAGCAATTTCATCCAGAAAACCTCCCCTTATTAAAGGTTTCATGAGCAATAGAAAGAAAGGGACCAAGAAGAACCACATGTTAAAATACATCATAGTATCTAGGAGATTTTTTCTTTCAGTCAACTATATTCTGACCCAAGTCATTATAGGCTCATGGTCATCCATATAGAAAATGCATTTAGTCATTTCAATAATCCTCATAGTCTGTAATAGCTCCTACACTGTTAAAATGTCCAAAGTTTCTTCCCACACTCAATACACT